TGACAAAATCATGGATCCGCAACGCCCACTTAGTGATTTTAACTTGTGTGAGAGACAAGATATCTGGAATAATGAATTCCACGTGCTCTTAGAGCTCCCAAAAGGCAAACACTATCGCAACCGAATGGCTAGACGGAAAAAGGAAAGAGCTGAGCAGCGTCGTAAAGGTACGTGGGCTGACATGACACGATTGAAATCGTATTTATACGATTAAAACCGACTAACTTTGTTGTGCTCAGAACGCCTGCAGTCAACGATGTGGGGAGCAATTGGTTCGTCGATTCAAAAATGGTTCACTTCAGTTTTCTCCACGAAGAAGAGCTCGCAACATCCAAAAAAAGCGCCGTGGCTTTGAATGTCGAGTTTGCTGTTTTAATTTTTAAATTCAAGTACATGTTCCAGCTTCCGCCGTCTTAACCCATAAAACCAACCTTGTTTTGTAAAATCAGAACATGACCAGAGGAAGTAGTAATTTAGAAATTAAAGGAGTAACGCTTTACAGCTTAAATAATAATACTACTACTAGTAAGAAAACTGCAAAGTGTTAGGTAACTCAGCATCCAACAGTGAAATTAGAATCGTACGCGTGTTTTAGAAGGTCTACCGGTATTGGCATTGTCAGTGCTTTTAACGCTCACCGTTATCTCCGCGACGATTGCGTAGCCGTTACGCCAATTTGGCAAGACTATGCATCCTGAATTCAGCCTTGGTGCTAACCTTGAATTACCGTCCGATTGAAAATGACGTTCACTACACCGCCACATCGGTAGATGGGATTTATCGTCTCGTATCAAATGGCTTGATGACCACTTCTTAGTCCTTTCCGATCGTTTCCCTCATTTTCTCCAGCCATGCCGCGTGTTCCCCTATCTCTTTAAGATCCTGCTTAATTTTCGCAGCTTTTTTCCTTAGCCTTCTTAGCAGCCTTAGCGGGGTTGAGCTTTTTCAAACCGTCTGCCAGCGCGCCCCCAAAACCTCTCTCTTCCTCGGTCTCCTCTTCTTTGTCTTCGACGCGCAGTAGCCGAACACCACCCACATGAGCCGAGTCGGTAATATCCGATGGAACTAAGCTTTCAACTTGAGAATTCAAGTCCTTAGTCGAAGGGAGAGCACTGCTGCTGGCTTGTAAAGTGGCGGCACACGCCATCGCTAGAATATACACGGCGCGCATGCTTGCGAGTTAGAGAATCACAGAGAAGGTTTTCTTTGCCAAGCGATCAGCTTGTCGGCTGCGTAGCTTATTGCGGAATGAGCTTCTGGCTGTGGAGGATTCAGCACGGGGTTACATGTACTGAGCCGTTCCATCATTGGCTGAAACTGCTTCTGGAACGCCATTGGGTAGACACGCTATAGTTGGATGAAGGCACAGTGTGCCGTGTGCCGCACACGCATTAGTGATATACGCCACACTTACGAGAAGACAACAGAGAGATACAGTGGTA